GTGATCTACCTGCATCAGCCAAAAAAATAAAGGAAAAAAAGGGAAAACATACCAATGTAATATTCCCTCTTCTGACATCACCCTCTCTGTACTTCTGTGTATACTGGCTCACATACCACAATGCCACCTTTTGCTATGAGTCAGAGCAGTTAACTCTCTTCGCAGTTTTTTTGAAAACCCTGTTGATAGTGTTGTAAACATACAGAGATTTTTCATTCTTATACCAAACCCATATGATCTGGAAATGGCCATTGGTAGCCACAAGAATGCCCTCATACTTCTCTTTATCCTTGCCCATTAGTTCCTTCTTCCTCTTTTCAGCTGTGTATTTCAACTACACTGCTAATATATTTCTGGAAGATCATTTAAGTTTAGGTGTCTGAAAAGACTTGTAAATTTTAAAGGAATGAGAATGGAGTCTTAAATAACTGATAATATCCTAGAAATTGTTGCATTTACATAAATATCTGATTATATGGAGATATTTTAATTTCACATTAATTCAAATAAGAGTTTTTGACATAACAATTCTACTTAAGCTTTTACTTGGCAGGGTTTGCACAAACATTTTAAACTTATCATTAGTGATTAGCGTTATTCTTTTTGTCAGTGAGAGAAAAATCTAAAACTCAGGAGACTCAAAGGTCACATACCAAGTCAATAATCTCTTATCCTCTTCAATATGTTGAATTCTTTAATTGGAAGCAATGCACTTTTGTGACACTCAATGCATTGCATACAGCCAGGTTTTTGGTTTTGTTTGATTATAAACAAACAGATTTGTAGGAAGCAATATCGTGAGATCTTTAAACCAGTATCAAAAGGAAACAGGGGAAGTAGTTCAATCATTGTGCCTAGCGATGCTTAAATTCATGTGTTTGGCTGAGCAGGAATATGGTCTTAGCCATAATAAGTGATATAGATGTACAGACATAAAAACTCTTATAGAGAGCAGACAATACTCTTAAATCCAAACATTTTTGAAAATGTATTCTTTGGTTCTATGAGAGAATGACCTTATATCTGTTTGTTTAATTCTTACAAATTGAATTTCAGTTCCCTCCCAGAACAAAGATAAAAGATTATGCATACATTCATTTGAATAAATGCATATTTTGTGGCATATTCTGTATTGTGCATGAAATATACACAAATTAAAAAAAACACTGATTTTCATTGGTATAGGCTAGCATGGAGACACACATGTGGAAAATGATAGTATAAATATGGATGTAATCTAGTATAATCTAAAAATATCCAGTGACCTGCATTAATACTCAGATATTGATGACCATATCCCAAGGGAACTGGGAAAGTTCTAAAACAATTTAAAGAACCAGTTAAGTTTTGTAAAGTTGAAAGACTTAATATTTGTAATTCATTGAGGGAGGGACAAAAAAAAATTATCCCAGGCAGTAGCTCATACAAAGGCCTGGAGATATAAAAATCATAGTGTAGTTGGAGAATTGCAAATGGTTTATCATTACTCAAATTTGGAACATATTTTTTAAAAGACTGCAGAAAAATCAGTCTGGTAGCAAAAATTTCAAATCATTAAGAATGTTGTAAAATATAGAATGGAGCGTGCAGTCTTTTAGTTTATAGGAATATTTGAAGGCTTAAGGTTTTAATGGTGTGGTCCTATTTATAAGCTACAAAGCTTGTCACATTAGCTGTGTGGGGTGTGATTTAGATAGAAGTGGATGCTTTGTTTGAGAGGTTGTATGATAGGAGAGGTTTCGAGAGAATGTAGTGTGTGCCTAAAATTAAGGGTCCATGTTAGGGCTATTTGGAGTCTAGTAGTATTAGGAGAACCTCAAATGGCAGAACACAATTTCTTCTCCTTATTCAGCACCTGTGGTTAAGCTTTCCTAGCCCAAAGTCTTTCTGGCCAAATGATCCAAGGAAAGTATCTACTTATTACTGAGTAAAGAGTTTGGCTTCCCGGCCAGCCTACAGAATTCTTCAAACAAGCCAATTCCATCTTCCTGTGGGGGATTCGAGTCACCTCACTCTCACTGGTATGACAAAGCCTGCACCCTACAGTTTCTGGCTGTTTACTCTGTTCCCAGGTGAGACCTCTTTGTGGATCTTCAGGACCTGCACTGCTTCCCCCAGCTGTGGGTGTATGTGACTCACAAACTAACGCTCATGTCATCTACCCAGTGTTGGATGTTGCATATCCAGCCATCTCTTAAATATCTTAGAATGGAAGTCCTTTCCTCAGTGATAGAATGAATAGAAAGAGCACAAAACAAGTGAATATTGAGAGTAGAAGTTAAAGCCCTGCTGTACAAAATGGTGGCCTTTAGCCACATGTTGCTATTGAACACTTAAAATGTGGCATGTCAAATAGTTAATGTGCTATAAAGGTAAAAAGCCAAATAGATTTTGAAGACTTAACATGAACACAAGATTATAAATTCTTCAATAATAATTTTATTATTTTTTCTCTTTTGATATAATATTTTGGCTATATTATATAGAATATTACAATTAATTTCATCTTTCTGTAATCTTCTAAAGTGGCTATTGCAAAGCTTAAAATACAAATAAGGCTTCCATTTGTGATTTTCATTTTATTTCTATTGGGTCATTTGGTTTAGTGAAAGATAGTTAAGAAAAGTATAACTTTAACATATGGAAGAGAGAAAAAATAAACACTGGTCCACTTAAGTGTGGACATTAAGAAGAAAAGAGAAAAAAAGGAAGAAAAGAGGATTAGGATGAACAGAAACTATACTTTTATTCTTGCATGTGTTCAACTGAAGTGTCAGAAAGATATTTAGATAGAGTTGAACAGGGGTGTCATAGGTTGAAATTTATGGATAAGTGTGGGATGCGAAGTACACATTTGGAATCATTAATTCTGACATCTAAAGCCATTAATAAATATTTGAGAATAGAAATATAGACAAAATGAGGTTAACACTACATAATAGGGTTTGGGAAATGATTAAGTAAGTTGGACTGCTTTACACATTTTCAACACAACTCGAAGAACTTTTGTGGAATTCCTACTATGTGCAAGAATTCAGCAATACATAAGACTTTAAAAATGAAAAACAATAAAATTTTTGGAATGAAATCAATTATTTATATAAAAATTTATTTTCAGGCCCGAAAGAATATATATTTGTCAAGGGAAAATGTGGAAGATAACCATTTTTGTTTGATATTAGCAAATATGGAATGTACATTTAAATACAATAAAAGGTTTTCATTTGTAGAAAGACTTCATTATAAGAAGTAAAATTAAATATAAAATCTTGGAGAGAATCTAAACAAATTTTCATGTAGTTTTTAAGTATCAAGGGATTCATTTTGAGGGTCGGGGATTTAGCTCAGTGGCACCACACCTGCCTTGTAAGTGCAAGGTCCTGAGTTTGATCCCTAGTACCAGAAAAAACAAACAAACAAGAGATTCATTCTTTAACATTGATGTCTCTATGAGATATATAAATTTCTATTAAATTTTGCCTCCATATTTTCACATATAGCTCCATTAAATTTTTCATTTGCTTGAGAAATTTGGAGATATGGAAAATCTAATATTCTTTATAGAGTATCTGTTGAGTTGCAAAGGAATTGAAGACATAAATAGTAGGTGGAAGGAGAATAGCCTAGTCAATACATAACAAAGAAGTATATAGGGAAACAGAATAGGGACTGAATAAGAAAGACTGAGATGGAGCCACTTTGATGGAAATTTTGTCATCAGAAAAAAACAGGGAGTGTACCGAATTTACTTTTGGATTATATATATAT